TTGAAAAAGGAAGTTCATGTCAGTCCACAGTAGTGTTTATGTTAATGTTGCCTCCGCGGAATTAGAACATGTGTATATTTTATTACACACATTTTTATTTCAATAAAAAAAAAGACAACTGCAATCAGTGAAAATACTTAATATTATGCGAGCTAAAATTACCCGCCTTGTGGTCTTTGCAGAATCAGGATTTCAGGACACTTTGTCTGTGGTCTTCAGGCAGTTGTTCTAATCACTATGAATAATATTAGCTGTCTAAACACTGTGATGGAGCCAAAATTACATTTGTTAAAGTAAGAGCACCACTTCAAGATTTTTTTTAAATAAAACTGGCTGGATAACAACCTATAATTACCCTCAAACCCACACTGTTAGCTGAATCACCCCGATGATGATGTGGAAAGGAACAGCCAGAAACGGCAAATCAAAAAAAGGGCAAAAAAAAAAAAAATCTAATTCATAAATAGAGACTTAAATATTATTACAAAAACAGAGAAAGACAAAAACATTATATCCTTTATACTGGACTTCAGACACAGTAGTTACTTTGCTTTTTAAAGGTCTGAAGGGTATCTTGCACACTTTCAAAAATCAAAGCCAAATAAAATTCTCCCATCTTTAAAAAGGAAACAAAATCCCAAATCCAATAAAAAAAATAAAGAAAACTGTACTCAAGGCCACTAGAAAAACAAACAAACAAAAAACTACCAATGTGTGTATGTTTGTTGCTGGTCCCCCGCCCCACTGCACCACCGTACATTCAAACAGCCAGCACACATCGTGTCCACCATTCATCTCACAATAAAGAGTTCCTTTTCAAATATGATTCACAGCGTCCTCTTCCACACAACACCGCCGCCGTCACATCTCTGTTCAGAGCAGACTGAAGATCTGTGCACAATGTTTTTTTGGTTTGCAGGTTTTCTGCCAACGCAGCACACGGTGCACGGCAAACATCTCTGGGTTTGGAGAATATATTGTCCAAGTGCAGTAGTCCCACTCTTTCAGCCGACCATTACCACTGCACCAATTGCACAAAATTACCCCCATTTCACTTCGGCAATTAAGGCTTTCAGATTAAAGGCCAGCCTCGACGAGCAATGTGTCCGTTTAGGAAAAGTAGCTGTAGCTAAATAAATGATCAACATTGGAATTTCTGTTTTTTTTTTTCCAAATATGTGTTGACAGTAAAAAGTGAGACAGCCGTGACAACCACTGGCACAGACATGTCCTCCTATTGGTGCATTCGTTAAAAACATTCCTGTTCTAAATTCTTACTGGCTCATCAGGAAATTGTTTTGGATGACAGAGAATTAGAGTTATTTACTGAGAAAGTACAGTGAAACACAGAAAGTATGGCTTTTATCCACTCTGAGCTGCTATCCTTTTTTTTATTTTTTATTTATAAATACGTTTTTTTCCTGCTTAGTGTCCTCACTGTGGTGAGGGTTAACCTTTCACACACACTGCAGTTCACCTTAACACCTGAGAGAGCAGTGCCACCTAGAACACAGTGTTCCAGTTTTCAATGAAACTGTACCTATAGAGGTATCAGCGACAGTACCATGTAAAAAAAAAAAAAAACTTATACTGGTACGTATTGGTATGGAGAGCAACCTCTTTATTCATTTTGTCATTCTATAATCGAGTACTTCACTCCCTAGTACAACACCTATCATTTACAGTTTTTACTGTTGTTGGTGTGTGGGCGGCTGTGTGCGAGGCGAGCATGGACACGACAGTTTCACCTGACTGGACTCACTTGATGTTCTGCCAGCCAGACTGGTTGAAAGAAAGAAAGAAAAAAAAACCCTGGTTGGCTACTGCATTTGGTACAAAATGGCCTCAAGTCAGCAAAAACGTAATGTCCCGTTCCAAAGGGCAGGTTAATTAAAAGCCTCACCAGAGTGCCACAAAGCGGATGATTTCTTTTTTTTTTCCACCCCAGCAGCCAGGCACATGTGTGTAGTTTTTAGCGGTAACTAATGCACTGAAGTTGGATAATATAAACATGACAATCCACGACACAATCCCAGCGTTATTAAAAAACAGTAGCATGTGCTGCTCTCAGGACGCGGGAGCTCAGTATTCAGGGATTTTTGTTTTGTTTTTGTTTGTTTTTTTGAAGCAGACTGAATAAAAATGCTAATGGAAATGATCCTATGCTGCATCACAGTGCTATGATCACCATCTGTCTAGTCAGGGCACAGAGAGAGCAGATTCAATCTTTCACTTTGTGCAGTGTTTTCATTTCAGAGCAGACCCTCACATCTGAACTACATGAGGCTCAACAGCCTTTTTCTGCATTAAATAAAAATCACAGAGTTCGGCCGAAGACCAACTGTGATCTAATCATGGCTGCTCGTATGTCACCCCTATGTTTAATTAACACGTGAGACATTGTGTCGTTCATCTGCTGATGCCCTCGGTGATAACATCACCGTATTTTTGTGGAAGTTAAACTTTAAAGTCGAGAAAAAAAAAAGTAAAAGCCCCGAACCTAACAACCCAGGTCTTATTAACTTTTATGTCAGCTACGTTCTTATTAATATTTACCAGGTAAGACAAGTTTTTCTGGGCAGATATTGAGGAGGGCTTCAAAGAAACACGGGCAAACCAGAAGGGACAGTTATCCTGAGAAAAAAAAAATGGTTTCATATCAGAGGACAGCGGCGGCAGAAGGATTTGACAGCCACACGAGGCACGGCAGGCATCCACATTTGCAGAGGTATGTTAAACAGACTTCCAAAGAATCCCTCGAGAATTTCATCCAGTTAAACTGGCATGAAGGTTAGTCTCAACATTCAACATTCAACCCAAAAATAAACAAGTACCTGACATTTGTCAGCAGTTTATAAGTCACTTTTAAGCAGAACTGGTCAATTTATGTGGACTGACACACACATATATATACAATAAACACAAAAACGTACAGCCGTAAAAAAACACATGCATCTACGTGTTGTTTTTTTCTTTCTGTTACAGTAAAATACAGAAATGTGTTGTCATATTAAGACATGTTGTTGTTGTTGTTGTTGACAGGCAAATTTTATCCTAGAAAGAAAAGAAAGAATGGTAGATGCAGTTGTCTGCTACACAAACACTGCGTTATGTTCCCAGTGCGACTCTGTCAAATAAGAAATAAGGTTAATTTTTAAACACTTCCTTGTGTAATTAAAAGGTAAACTCAGACTCCATCCTGAGCTGATAATTATTCCACAGGCCACACTGGCAGGGAATCTTTACCATTTCCTGCTTAGCATGAATTCTGCACCACAGGCAGTTCACTGGTCTATATATAGATTAGGGTGGTTTCAAAACAGCAGAGCACATTGTGAAAACACATCTTTGTTTACTCTTAAAAAAAAACAAAAACCCAAAAACATTAAAACTACACCTGCTGTCCACAATTCTGCTGCATTAAAAACATATGGTAAACAAGATTATCTAGCAGTTGGAATGAATTAAAAACTCCATCTGAAGTGAAACCTCAATCAGAGGGCCTATAAAAGGAGACTTCTGCCTGACCACACAGTGACCTATAATTGAGGGGGGGGCAAATATCAACATGTTTAAAAACACAACTTACAACATTCATGGTTGAAAATAGAAGGACTGTTGGGGCCCTGCCACCCGGGGACGGGCCGGGCCGGGCAAGGTGGGGCTTTGTGGCTTAAATATACTTCACTCAACAGTGTGTGTGTCTGTGTGTGTCCACATATCTGAGTGATACTGAGGGGTATGTTCCAGGGATGAAACATTTCCCCTCATCTGATACACGTGCTCAGTCAGTAAATCAGTTCAAATTAACATGTAAAGGTCCTTTTTTTTTTTTTTTTACAATTTTCTACTTCATACACCAAACATCTTTGGCAAGTAAAAACCAAAAAGTTTGATCAAGGTGAGGCCAAATCAGGAGGCTGGCACCCCTGCTGACATGCCCTTGGGCAAACTCCATTACCTGCAGCTGCTCCAGTGGAGATTTTCCATTCCTACCAGCCTCAGATGTGCTGAGATTACAGCTCTCTTCCAGGTGTTGACATGTTTAGGTGTGTGTGTGTGTGTGTGTGTGTGTGGCACAGCATTCCAGTCAAAGTAGCGTTGTTAAACAAAGATTAAATTGTTAATTACTTAGTTACAGTCTCAATACAGGAACACGGTGGTTGTGGGAAATGATGATTAGGTCAAGATTTATGTGGGGTGTCCAAACTGTACTTTAGACTTTGGAAATTTGTCACGTCATTGCCATAAATATCACTGGATTTACACACGTCATCTGCACGGAAACTGTTCATTAATAGAATAATTGTTAGAGGACGGTGCTCTGGTTCTTTAAATACCCAAATAAAAAACAGACTTCTGTGACACTGAAACAGAGCATGCTGTAAGATAACAAATGAAGCTGTGTGATAAAAACATGGATCACCTCTTAACCTAGAAACACGCTGGGTTAGAAGGAAGGAAGGATGTTTTGAGGATTATTTTCCTCCTCGCGACGTTGAGGCAAAGTCATTAAAAATGGCTTAAAAGTCAAACAAGACAAAACAAGGGGGTAAAGAGAGGCTGGTGAGGGGCTGTGTGAAGCCCTTCCATTCTACCCTCCCCCCTCCTGAACAGTAGCAGATGACAATAGCTTCTAAACCAGGGCACGCCAGACATCCTGACAAAGGCAGGCTCCTCCCAAGCCGCTGACTCCCTGTTCCCACATAAACATAGCCACAGGGAGAGGGCAGGAGTCGGGATGTGGTGCTCTGCCATGTCAAGACAAGCGGCAAAAATTAGTCCCTCTGCCCAGAAGCAATGCTTTCTGCCAGCAGAGCATAAAATACACGCCGGACACGGCAAAACCTCCTCGCACACTGCACGGCTCAAGTAGAGCTGCAACAGAATTAATGTACCATATAAACAAAAAAACAACAACTGTGCAAGTGTCCACTGATGTAGCGCAGATCTATTTCTCTTTGACAACACAACACAAATGCAGTTTAGATCTTACTCACATGTACGCAGGTGAGAGGGGTGAGGACCTGGATGTCTTAAGAACTGGCATTGGGAATTTCCAGCTGACAGGAGAACCGCTTTTCCATTTTAACGGCATGTTGTTGTCACCAGAATGGTGCTACAGCAATACCAACAGCAAAGACCATGTCCATGAAAAGGTTTCCAATGCAGTCTTCCATCCCACTCTGCCCACACCATTTAAAGGGGAGGGAGAGCAGCAGCAGTGGCAGCAGCAGGCGGAGGAGCCGTAACCGCAGGGGCCGCAGCCCAAGAAATATGACACGCGC